TCCCCGTCCCCCCCTCCCCGTCCCACTCCGGGCCCTGTTGCCGCTCCCTGAGCCTCAGCTGCCCAACCTGTCCAGTGGGTCAGTAGTGGCTGAGCACCTCACGGGGACGCAAGGGGATGATGTGTGGCCCCTGGCGATCCCCATCGCAGGGCTTTGCTCAGGTACCTGGAGGTCGAACATCTGGATGGTGTTTTCTGGCTGGAACTGGAAGGCTCCCAGGAACACCTCCTCCCTGGGGGAGCTCTCCATGCCCTGGGGCAGAACCCAGAGCTGTCAGACAGGGGCCTTGGGGGGCCTCCCCCTCCAGCCTGGGCCAGCGCCCCTCCCGGACCGGAGCTTTCCAGGGCAGCACAGGTGACAGCAGGAGAGAGCCAGGGCCTGGGAGGCAGAGGCCGAGGGCCAGCTGCTGCCCGTGCCACTGACCCCAAGGCCTGGGGCGTTTCCCGACCCTTCTCTGGACCCCATTTGGATGAGCAGTTCCTGATAATTCTCTGGACCTTCTCAACAAAATGGGGGCACAGTGGTCTCTGAAGGCTCTGGTGGCTCTGAAAAGCCGGTGGAAATCGAGGCGCTGGGACATCTGCCCTCGGAGGCCAGCTCTGACCCCCAGCCCCCCTGAACCTCCCCAGCCCCCTGCACCTCCAGATGTGCAGGCCCGGGGCACCCCCACCTCGCCAGGCTGTCCCTTCAGCTCACGTAGATGACGAAGTCCTTGGGGGCCGTGTCCACGCTGCCGGACAGCGAGATGGATTTGGGGATGTGCTGCAAGGTGATGTTGAACAGGTAGACCTTCTGGGCCAGCCGGATGGTCACCTGGCCACGGTCACCTGAGAAGGCCCAGCAGTTGCCAGGTGTCATGTTGGGCTAGAAGAGGCAGGTAACGGGGTTACGCTGAGTGGGCGGCAGGGGCTTCCTCACTCTACAACTAGGCACAGTTACTATCCCTGTTTGACAGATGAGGAAACCGGGCAGCAGAGCAGGGAAATGACTGGCCAGAACCATGCAGAGCTGGGAGTGCAGCCTGGGCAATTTGACCCTGGACCCACTTGCTTTTTTTTTTTTTTTTTGGACCACTTGCTTTTAACCACTACCATCTCCTACCCTATGAAGAGGAAACAGGCTCAGAGAGGGAGAGCATTTCAGCTGAAATCACACAGGAAGGCATTCATCAGCAGCTTTTCAGTGTGGCCAGCTCTGAAGTGGAACAGTAGATGCTGAGACCGGGATGGGACAGGGACTGTGGAGTCAGGGAAGGCCTCTTGAGGAGCTGGGACCAAGGAGGGTCAGGAGCAATTGGGGAAAGTGAGTTGAGGGACAGCCACAGCCCTGAGGGCCACAGGAACTAGCTTCAGGGAGCAGCGGCTTAAGCTGGAGAGGGCAGAAGGCCTGAGGGCAGGATCTCTCCAGCCTCCGGCCCTGGCCTGCCACCTTGCTTCCTCCCTGAGGGCCCTTACACCTGTTCTGCCTAAGGAACCCTGCTCACCCGGGGCTACCTCCTCCAGGAGGCCCGCTGTCCCTGCAAGGCCATTGCCCCAGCCTGGTCTCAAGCACTGACATCTCTGGGCTCCTGGAGGGACCCATGGAAAAGTCACTGTGGCCTTGGCACCACCCAAGGCTGGCCACGGGACGGGATGCTCAGCCGGGGGCTGCTAATGGAGCTGTGCTTGCTCTGCGAGCCAGCAAGCCCCTGCCCTCATCCAGGGGCTGCGTCGCAGGGGCTGAAGCTGGGTGGACTCTGGCTCTGCCCTTCACTAGAGCCAGCTGTGGGCCTGCAGCGACGAGCTGGCTCTTTGAGCCTTGGTGGCCTTGAGGGTTCTCAGGGCGGGGTGGGGGACTTTCCAGTGCCACAGCAAGCTGTCCCGTGCCCTGCGCCTACAGCAGCCCCTGGGGCCCTGTTCCCTGTTCTTGCTGCCTGCCTCCCC